GCTTTTGCCAACCTCATGATTGAACAATTGAAGTTGATAGTTTCATAATTTATATAATTGAATTTACTTGTCAGTGACACGTCACAAAATTGCATAAAATATAATATAACAACTTAGGCTGCCACGGCATCGTTTGTCAACAAGGGTGGGGTTCCACCAGCAGTAAGTGCATCTTCAATCCATGCAATTACCCACTGTCGCTCTTTCAGGTTGCCTGTTTTCTCCACAATGATCCTCAACTTACTCAAGTTGTTCAGGCAGGAGTCCAAACCGAACTTCTTCTCCAGCGAGTCCAATTTGCCATTGATGTAGTCGTTTTTCAGTAGCTTTTCATACACCTTCAGGCAGTCATTGATGAATTGGTCACTGTGCCCCATTTCCGATTTGGTGGACTCCGCCGTTTTCCCCATGCGATCTTTGTAGATAGCCGCAAGTTTCTTTACCGTCAAGGACTCTCCAAGCTCAGCTTCCTTTCTCTCCTTGAATATGGTCAGCTCATGAGCCCACTGTCTTGCTGTTCTCCGGATCGTGTCATGAGTCTGAACAATCCTGCCAGGGAGTCAATATCTAAAGCACTAACAAGTTCTACAAAAAACAAAACAAAACATGCGTTTGATAACACCTGTCCGCTGTCGCTGTTCGTAGGCTTCCCAGTAGTGGGCATCATCACCGTCGAGGACAACAAACATGACTGGAGTGCTAAGTAGCACAGCTTTCCATTCCTTGAGGGTTTCATCAGTAGTTTTATCATCCAAAACGAGTTCCTCAAGGTAGAAGATGATGCTATGAGTCAACTCCTCCGGGGTCACCTGCTTCCAACTCCCCTTGGACGCGTTGAGGTCCGTGTCAGTGGCTGGAACCCCAACAACCACCATCTCCCGCAAGTGTGCTGCACGACCACCTGAGAACACAGTCCTGGCCCACCTCCTCACTCGTTCTTCATCCATGGGAACACCTGGGCTAGAGCTGGTCACAATGTCCAGCCAGAACATGTTGCAGGCCGCCCTGTAAGCCTTCCCCCCACTCAGTGCCAGCTTGGCCTCGTCATTGTTGAAGACAGCCTGGCACAGCCAAATTGAATTTACCCAAAACAATACAATAAGCAGCAGCAGGCTTTTTAATTATGCAACGACTGCAGAAAATAAAGTTGTCCCACCTGAACACCACTCATCTTCTTGCCTGTGATGTCCAGCGGCGATTCTTCTTCCACTCTTGCAAAGACCTTGTGGTTCTGAATGGTTTGCAAAGCCGCCAGCAAGCGGTCATAGTAATCATGATTCACACTGTCCGTCGGGGGGGTCGGATGAACACTGGCAGAGATTGGTTTTGCTTTAGCTTTGGCTTTTGACTGGGGAGTCTGAGCCTTCTTAGCTGCAGCATTGTCTGCCTTCATCTTCTTCAGCTCATGAGTCCGCTCAGCAATCAGGTCATTCTTGGCTTTTTCTGCATCTTCCTCAGATATTCCTTCAGCAAGCTTCTGGCTTTTGATTTCATCACCTTCTTGTCTCAGCTGCTTCTCTTCGGTCTTATTCAGCCTCCACTTGCTCGCCATTGCTCCCAATCAATGGCTCCCACAAATCTTATTTGAGCCACTAAACTGACCTGATCAATAAAAGCAACTTGCAACTTATCAATAATTCAACGCACGACAAAAACATACACAGAACATATTTTCAACTGGCTGTCAGTCCTTGTCGACGCTGAACCAGTCCTGAGAGTCTTTTTGAAAAAGATTGCTGATGTTTATATGCTCTGGTTGCGCCCAGAAAATGTAAAAAATGTCAAGTGGTGACGAGAGGGGAGGGGGTCCTCTCGTCACCACTTGACATTGCCGCTGATTCAGCCCGGG